TCCCCTCAGCCTTCTCTTCTCCAGGCTAAAGAGTCCCAGCTCTCTCAGCCTTTCCTCATAAGGGAGATGCTCCAATCCCTCAGTCATCTTAGTTGCCCTTCGCTGGACTCACTCCAGCAGTTCCCTGTCCCTCTTGAACTGGGGAGCCCAAAACTGGACACAGTATTCCAGTTGTGGCCTCACCAGTGCCAAGTAGAGGGGGAGAATGACCTCCCTCAACCTACTGGTCACACTCTTCATTAAGAGGTAAGATACAGTAGTATATACAACGCTAAAATGAAAAAAAGCATTTGAAAATTGGTAAACTACACCAAGTCAAAATTACAAAAAATTATCTGTATTACAGTTACCAGATTCTATAATCGAGAAACCTGAAATACTTATTACAAATTATTTAGAATCTTTACCAAACACACAAAAGTCTACTGTTTCTCTTCCCCCCCCCCCCATCAGAGGAAATTCCTCTCAGCCTATTGTAAATGGTCTACCGGGTAATGAGCATCTAGCTCATTATATTGTCCGTAGCATCTCTCGATCACCTATGCCTAGGAAATAACATACGTGAATACAGATTTGCAGTGATATGTCCCTAAATTTTCTCCACCCACCATTGCTCTCTGCACCCTTTCTTCCAATACTAATAATCAAAAAGCCCACGAGAGAAAATAAATACCATTTAAACCACATTACAAGACCTGGAGGTCTTTCGCTGAAGCATGTATTTAAAAACCCAGAGCTCCTCCAGATTTAAATATAATATTCTCCTCCTCCCAGTATTCTGGAACTTCATTCATTAATGTTTTTAAACAATTTCAGATAACTGAGACGGATGGATCTATATCAAATAAAGAATCAATATAACAAGGTAAAATCTGAGTATTCTAACCTAGACAGAGGACAGAAAAAGGGGCAGCTAGCTACCTATAGAGACAAGTAAAGTGAAAAAGAATATACACTGCATTTACCAGATTCTAAGATCCGTTACACACCAAAATAAAATTATGGCCTCTTTGCAAAGACACTAGGATTTCTGAAAGTTTTGAGTATTATTTAGACTGCTAGAGTATAATGCCATAGTTTCACTGTTCTATTGGTGGAGTCTCCTGCATTAAATGTGTCACAAAAACTAATCAAACCAAGGTAAAAATTACAAAGAATTACCCAACTTTTGTGAAAAATAAAATAATAAAGAGTTACCCAATATTTATTCAGATATGAAACCTTCTTCCTCTTATCCAACTCTGATTCAAGCTACATTCCTCCACCAACTAACATTCTTGACTTAACTGGTATCAACAGCATGAACGACTATTAAATAGCATGAGAAGGGCTCAGTGATGTTAAGATCACATATCTGGTTTTGATCTTTCTCAAATTAAAAATACAGAGAAAAATTATTTTTACTTCCTACAGAATTAGGCAAAATTTATCTTGTATGAATGTCGAAGGAAAGTTTCAGAGACATCAGTAATGTACAAATAACTGCAAGCAAAAAAAACCAAACAACTTCCCCCCCAAAAAAAAACCAAAAAACCAAAACAAAAAAAACCCCAAACCCAAAACTTTTATGTCTTCACTTACAATTTAATCCTGATGAGACTAAATTGTCCTCTTGGTATTATCAGTCTCTACCATATACACCACTCAGGATTCAATTGCTTCCTCTGTCTTAGGAACCACAGCTACAACTCCTACCTTTTTTCTTTCTTTAAAGCATTAACCACGTGAAAGCTGTTTTCACATGTTGCACCTTCCTTTGCTTCCATTCATTAGAAGCTCTTGTATGTTTGTAATTTTTTTTATATCTTTCAGGTTGACTCCACCAGTAGGTTGACAATTCCTGACCATTTACACCCACCAGCTAAGGGATCCCTAACAACCTATTTCTCCGTACCAACAGCCAGCTTCCATCCTTCAGTGAAGTTCTTCTGTTACAATATAGAAATTAGACTCAAACACTTTGCAGAAAAATACTCTAAAATACTACTTTGGAAAACACACCTTAATGATTTTGTAGAAAAGGATTTCTTTAACAGCCCTGGCAGAAGTCCAGGACTATATAGTCCCACAGCCAAAACCCTAACCATCTACAACTGAAAGAGTAAAGCACAGAAATAGTAATGGTTATAAGGAAAGAGGAAGCAATACTAGTCATCATGGTAGGTAGAATTCTCAGTGCAGTGAACAGAAGGATTTTTTTCCCCTCTCCCTGTTTTGGGGAGATATTTTTCAGAGGGCGGGGGGTGTTTTTAGTCACTTTTTTTTTTTTTAATGTGGAACAAAGAAAAGGAGACTAAAAAGAAGGAACTAGAAAATAAATGGCAGCTTTGTGAGACACTCACAGATAAGACTGACTTGGACAATTCAGTAAGGAGCCAATGAAAATTAACACTCTACATGAGATGTCAGTTAGTATTCAAGTCCTGAACGAGGGATTTCAAAGATGGTAACCAGAGATAGGGCATAATAGGCCTTGAAAAGTAAAGACAAAACCCACCATGTTTGAGTGAGACACAACGGAGGGATGAAAAACACGTGGGAACAGGGTTCAGACAAGACCGTGACAACGACCAATATTTAGAACAGAGAAGTATAATAAGACTGCCCTTACTAACCTGTTCCAATGAAGACAACAAGATGACTACCAGCTCAAGAATTTAAGCTGTACAAAAAAAGTCAGACCAAGGCTATTATACAAGACAATGTTATGAAAAGATTTCAATATAACCTGGTTAAATGACCTAGAGCAAAACACCAAATTCTCCACAAGAATATGGATATGCATATCACAGAAAAAAATAATCAAACTTCTTGTTTGCACTGTCTGGCTAATTATGCTTTAATTAGTTTTTTCTTAAAGTAATCAAAAGGATAGTTTCAGATCTTTACCAAAATTTAAAAAACTGATGCAAACACTATCTTTTAAAACTACCAAAACGAATCAAAATCAACAGCAACTGTTTTGATGTTTTAAAGTCCTTGTTTATTTTGGCACAGCCTCTCCTTTTAAACCAGTGGAAAGCTCTGCAACTCCTGTTCTGCTATTCTTGCAGGCTACTTCTTCTTGTTTTCACCAGATGAACAA